TTTTTTTTTCCTTGAGAGATGATTTCAGATAAGAAGAAAGTACAAATTGCAGGTGGCAGCCCCTGAACAAAGGATAACTGGTGACTGTCCGACTGGCCACACTGCCCTTGGCAGCTGACCCAAAGAACTCCCTGCTCAGTGTCAGCTGTCACCACCATTTCTGGTTGGCTTGAACGTCTAGAGCCACGTAGCCTGGTTTCCCCTGCAGTCCCTAATTCGATAAGCTCTTTGGATGAACAGAAATATAATTTTAATGGCTAACATGTTATTGTTCAAAACCAACCCTTGTTTATCATCAGAGAGGAACAACAGAACAGTACAGTCTTTACTGAAAAACTTTCAACTTCAGGAACACTTTTAATGATTGCTTGTTTGGTCTACAATTTTATTTGCAAGACATTCTGTTCTTGTTTTTCTAAAAAGTAACTATTTTTGTACCAAAGCAGGTCCAATATTCCATCATCATACAGTAGTCATGTGTTGCTTAACAATGGGGATATGGTCTGAGAAACGCATTGTTAGGCGATTTTGCCGTTGTGCAAACATCATGGAGCACACTGACACAAACCTAGATGGTATAGACTACTGTACACCTAGGCTATATGGTACAGCCAATTGTTCTGACCACTGTCACATACGCAGTCTGCTGTTGACCAAAATGTCATGGAGCACACGACTATATGCCAAGTATTCCATTTAGATGAATATTTTCTCCTTTCAGTGTCAATAATGTCAATTCTCCTACAAATTCTACTCATCCTGTGAGATTAAACTCAAACGTCACCTGCAGTGAGAGGCCTTCCTCAGATGTCCCAGGAAGGACCTTCCTTTCAGCTTCTATAGAACCTTGTAAACCCTCCAGCCCACAACAACCACTATCACTTTGTATGATGGTAGTTTGGGACAATGTCTGCCTCCACAAGTAGAGTGGACTCCAGTGCCCCGCCCTGCCCCACACAGAAGGAGATCTATGAATGCTTAAGAAATCAGTTAATCAACGGATCAGGGCTCCCCACCATGCCTCCCTCTACACACACAGATAGTACCTATGACATCTGCAAATCATATGCAGAGTTGGCAACTGTAAAGATAGAGAGAACACTAGAACCTTCAGATATCGTCTTTAGGGAACACATGGACATCCCTGCACGGTCTGACTCAGAGGCCTGAGTCCTCCAGTCAGTCCAAAGTATTTCTGCCACCTTATTTAAAAGGCAAAGCCTTTTCAATAGTGTATCACTATGTGCCAGACACCAAGCATTCATAACTAAAGAAGTACTACAAAGTAAACATTTGAGAAAAACAATCTTCAGAAATGTTATCTGGTATACTAGTCACACTTGTACCCATCCACAATATTATGTTAGCCACTCCAAACAGACCCCACCTCTGGAGGGTAACTTAAGAGAATTTCGTGCAATTCAAGCAGTCTGCTCACATGTGGGACCCTGTCTGGGCTCAGGGCTAGCTTTTGAGCGACTTCATTCTTTCTCAATCGCGATTGTGTTCCAATTGAGAAAGATTTCTATAGAAAAGTGCAAATACCCATCTTGGAGTAAGGCCGGGACTGTGGCTGAAAACCCACTTGGACCTAATGTGGATCTTGCTCTATGAAGCTAAGCACCAGACACCTGGAGTTCCATCAACCTTAAGCGTCTGCTGTGTGCATGCACACACACACACACACACACACACACACACACACACACACACAAAGCCCCCGGAACCCATCTCTTGGCCCACACCCAAGAGTAACACAACACCTTTCTTCTAGAGCTAAAGAAAGCTTATGAGGTGACCACCACCACTTGCTAGAGGTATGCAAAAGCAAGTAAGTATGCCCTAGGCCAGCAAACAGATGGGAGTATCAAAGGGGGTTTTGATTTGGACTTAACCACCTGTTTGGCTAAACCTTGGGGAAACATGATTACAGAAGTCTCAAGCCCAGTGAAGAGGTGCCAAATGATAAGCGCTGAATATCATGATAAATGGAAGAATTAAAAAGCCGCAAACCAAGCCCCTAGCAGTGTGCTCTTGGAGAAAACACGGAGTGTGAAAGGCACAACCTGCGTGTGCCTAGCATTTTTTCACAGAGCATCTGGAGAGGTGACAAAAGATGCAACAAAGATCGCAGGGAAACATTGCTTCCAAAGGGCAACCTTCCCTAGAAATGGTGCCAGGGCTTTTGAGGCTACCACTGCTGCCCCTGTGCTAATATTTAAATCAGAAAGGAGAAAGTGGTTTTGCCTAGACCAGAGTCATACACAACTGGGCTCCTGGGTGGCCAGCTGCTGACCTCTAGTTTGCAAAGTGGTGGCCCTGTAGGATAAACCCCCTACAGAATGAGCGTTATTCTATCACCAGTGGACACAAATGACCCCTTCTTTCTTTTATCAATGGAAGAAGGAAAGATTGGGTTTTAAATACCTGCATCACTTTTGGGTCTCAAGGTAAGGACACTGCAGAAATGTCTTCCTTGCTATTTAAACTGGCGCCACCAATAAACTTGGCTTGACAGAGGAGGCAGGAAGGAGAGGAAATCTCTGGGAATTCCATAAAATTCCCTAAGCCCTCTCCTTCCAGCCGGCGGGGCGCCCCTGAAACCTCGAGAGGGAGGGTCACAGCCCGAGCAAGGGGACCGGAAAGTTGAGCCTACAGGGTCAGGCGTCGTTGGGGCCAGGGGCTGGCTCCCGCGCGTCCCCATCCTCAGCCCCCTGCAGAGGGGCGGCCGGGATGGGAGAACCGCACCAGCACGGCGGCGGCGGCTCCCGCCCCCGGCTACTCACCCTCCTGCTGGGCGCCCCAGGCGACCTGGCGCTGCCGCCCGAGAGCAGGGTGACCGTGGACGTGGAGCGCAGCATCCCGCAGCGGCGGCCGGCGGCAGGCTGGGCACCGGCGCTCCTCTGGGGCCGAATAAGCGTGCGGGGCCCGCCCAGCGCGGGGGCGACGCGGAGACGGCGAGGGCCACCGGCGGCCGAGGCTGCGGGCGAGGGAGGGGGCGGTCGGCGGGGGCGGGGCCCGGGCCGGGCCGGGCCGGGCCGGGGCGGGGCGGGGGCGGGGCCGAGCGCGCCGGTCCGACCCGTCAGGCTGCATTTTCTCCCCAGGGCGCAGACCCGGCCAAAGTTGAGCGCCATCCTCTCCCACTCTGCTGCGCCCTCCCAGATTCAGGGCCGGGGCGGCAAGGGGCCCTGGACACCCTCGAGGCCCAGGCTGCCTCTGTCGCCCACGGAGTCGAAGTCCACCTGCCCGCTCAGCCTCGCGGGCCACCTCCACCCCCGGCTGCCCCCAACAGTCGCTTGCTGCACCCTCGGATCAATGGGACCCTCACCCCATGTCATTCATTCAGTATTTACTGAGTGCCTATCGTGGGTCTCTTCCTGCAGCCAACACCGTCGACTGGCCCTTGGCCGCGCGGAGTTTGCAGTCTGGTGGGCTGGCACTGTGTACTAATAGAAAAAGGGATACTGCGCACTAAGGGAGCACGCGGCAGCCTCAGGAGCCAGAAAAGGTGGTGAGGAGGTGATGACTAAGCTAAGACCTGGAATGCAGGTAGGTAGGAGTAGGCCGGACATAAAGTGTTCACAACTTCTAATATGTATTCAGTGATTACCGTAGGCCTGGCCGGCGAGCACTTTGCATGGGTTACCTCATTTAATCCTCACAAGCATCCTTTGAGGCAGGCGCTATTCATCCTGTATCCCCAGTTTGTAAATGAGGACTCACCAAGGGATTGAGTAACACAGCAGGGCACACTGGCCACTCTGGGGCAAAGGTAAGATGTGAACCCCCCAGTCTGACCGTAGTGCCTTGCTTGTCCCCTCTGCTGTCTCCTAGCAGAGGGAGGAGGGAGTTCCAGGCCAAAAGAACTGGGATGTGCAGAGATGGGAGGGAGGCAGGGGAAGGCATGATACATTTTTCAAGAACTGGAAGTATCACAGCGCATGGCACAAATGGTGGAGAAGCAGCAGAAAGGAGCTGAGGCCAGGTCATGAAGAACCTGTGTGCTTAGCTAAAGGATGCGGCCTTTGTCCTGAGGACAAAGTGTTTTTCCGCAAAGGAAGGCACAGTCTGTCAACTGGTCCTTCAAAGCCCAGTTCAAGCGCTATGTCGCCACTGAGCTCTCCAGTGCCCTAAATGCTCTGGCTCAAGAATTTAGCAGCTCATTGGGACCACATCATCTGTTAGAGTCATCTGTGCGTGCCTGTCCCTTCTGGAGGGCAGGGTCTGGACCTCACCCTTCTCTGAATGCCCAGTGGGCACCAACAAGGAAGCTGTTGAAGAAATGGCGCTGAACAGAATTACAAATGATCCTGTGGAACCCGTTCTTTTTGCAGATGAGGAAACTGAGGCTGGTGTATATAAGTGACTTTCCTAACATCACAGAGCCTGCTCTTCACCATCCCCATCATCATCCTCCCTGCAGCGGTGCCAGTGCTCTAAGCGTTTTATATGCATTTTCTCATCCAGTTCTCACCATGACCCTACAAGGTGGATGCTGTTATCACCCCCATTTTGCAAATGAGGAAACTAAGGCCAGAGACATTAGGCAAAGTGGTGAACAGCTGGGACCAGATGTCTAGTCTTCTATCTCTGGGTCTTCTGCTTTTTATTACATCTGTCTCTGCATCCTTCCATCCACCCACCCCTTCCAAAAAGAGGTTGTTTCTGAGAGGTTCCTTCTCATTCGACTTCCACACAGCCCCCTACTTTGGGGAGAGTTTTGTAAGACTAAAAACTGAGTCTGCCTTCAATAAAAAGTGGTCAGAAGGTGGCTGTTGAAAGCCACTCCAGGTTAGAGACATCTGTGTGGTTACCTCAGTAGAGAGAGGCTAATGATTATTGCTGTTTTATTTTCTTGGCCTGAGAAGAAAGGAAATGGGCTGTTGTTTAGACAAAGTCAAAAGAACCTGGCATGATCAATGTTTGTTTATATCATGGTGACCACCCAAGATGGAGTAAACATTTGAGAGGAAGGGTGGTCCATGGATTCATTTTCCTTCCATCCACCCAGGTCTTTTTCATGTTGTTCATATAATCCTTTTCACGCTGTATTATAGTTCCTTACAAAAGCAGCAGCCTGCTCACCAGCTTGGGAGCCCTGTGTAGGAACTGGATCTCTTTTACATCTCTGCCTACCCAGTACCTACAGAAGGTAATTGACATGTGGTAGGTGCCCAGTAAATGTTGAATGAGTGAAGAAACGATATTACAGAGCAAGCTTTCAATGTACTTGTGGTCAAACAAAACAGAAACTAAGATCCCTGCCAACCCAGCTTCTGGGGTGGGCCAAGGTCTCCAAGCAATTTGTCAGCCGAAGCAGCCAGAGCCCCAGGACTGTCCCAGCCAGGTCAGTTCCCCAAAACTGGCTTTCAGTCACCAAGGGCTATGGGTGGTGTGACTGGGCAGATGCCAGGCTCTGGCTTATGCCACTGCTCCTCCCTACCTGGCCGACCCTGGGAAGCTGAGGTCACAAGGAACTGCAAGAGAGAGGCGTGTGGGGAGCCCCTGGAAAGAGAGAAAGGTGGGAAAGAAGGAAAATGGGGACACAAGTAGGACCGAGAAATCAACGGGAAGGTGGATCTGGAATGGAGAGGATAAAGTCAAAAATAAAGTCACAGTCACTGTTTTTATGAATAGTTCTGGGAGAAGAAAATAAAAAAGAAGGATTGACACTTTTTGAAAGAGGAATCAAAGGCTGAGAACTTCTGCCCCAGCCAGAAGTCCTCCGGAATCAGAGAGTGGGGAAGAGGGCCGAGGGAGAAGGACGGGGGTAGGGCTCTGATGTAAAAGGTCACTGTGTTCCCTTTAAATATGCCACATTCGCTCTGGGCCCTCCCTGAGCATTGGTAATGAAGGGTTGCCACAGTGTGGGCTGCAGGGAACAGGAGCTATGACGAAACCATCTTAGTTGTCATCCTTTCCTACCCATGATAATAGCCACACAGGCATAAGAGCTGTCCTAAATTTCTCTGCTGAAGCACAGGGGTGTAGAAAATTCCAGATGTCTGTATAAACATCCTTCATTTTCTTGTGATCGATTACTGTATAGTAACTCCTTCTCCCATCCGAATTCCTGGAATTCCCTTTCATATCCTCCAGTCCTCTGCTTTCTGAATTGTCTTTGTTGCTTTCTGCTAAACCCTCTCCAGACTCTACTGGCATCTTTAGTTGAGGGGCTTATGATGGGACTCATTTGTCCAGCAAAGTCCTGAGCAGCAAAGACTGTCACTATTTCTTGGCAAAAATAGCTCTCATTGCTGGATGAGAGCACAGAGTAGGTGAGCCCAAGCCATGCCAGGCTTTCTGATATTTTGTGCCCTCTTCACTCTTACGTCTCTGAATCTTCCCTTTCTTCCTCCTCCATTCAGCTGTGACCACATCCCAATGTCCTGGCATATTCCCCCATACTGAATGCCAAACAGACCTAACTTTCACAATGGAGAAAGGACACATTTCTAACCAAGGACAAAGGTATTGAATTACAAAGCCCCTTTGGGTAAAGTAGAACAAGAAACACCCCGTATTCACAGGGCATCTGAGAAACAAGGGACAAGGCCTAGAGATAAGGAAGGCAAACTGAGAGGAACCCAATATCCCAGCCAAGTCACCCAGATACACAGCATTTATAAGCCTGTCTAGACACAGGGGCTGGAACATGCTGCCAACCCAACCTGGGGAATACAAGCTCTTTGAAAATAATTCGGTTAGCTCATTATTTAACTCAATGAACAAACGAGCAACTGGCAGAGTTGCAATAAGCCCATTCATTGAACAAGTATGTACCAAGCGCCTACTATGTGCTGGGCACTGGGGACACAGAGGTGAGTCAGACAGCCCTATTTCCTAGAAGTTCACAATCAAATTGGAAAGAGAGACGTGCACTTAGCAAGTAAAATAATAGCTAACACTTATATGGCACCTACTGTGTTCAAAAAGCTTAAAATGCATCAACACATTTAATCATCACAGCAACTCAATGAGAAAGTTAGGTACTATTTTGTCCCCTAGTTTGCAAATGAGAAAACAGAGTCACAGGGAGGTAAAGTGACTTGCCCGTGGTACCAACATTACCAAGTGACAGAGCTAAGTTTCCACCCCAGGCAAGATGGCTCCAGCATCTGTGTACCTGACCAGTCACCTTCCACACTGGGATGGGGCCAGACTTGAGGCATGTCCAGAGCGTTATGGTGGGTAGAGGACAAGCTGCTGCTGCTGCAACAAGATGAACAGGAAAGGCTTCACCCAGAAGGTGGCATGGGCACTGGCCATGAAAAATGAGGAGGAAAAGGTAAGGGTATTCCAGACCCAGGAGCTAGAGGAAACAGTAGGGTCGGAGGGGCTGGGAAATGCCAGTTCACTTTGAACTTCAGGGCAGAAGGGAATAGCCAGAGACAAAACAGGGTAGGGTTGGAGTGCAAACAGCCTTGAATAAAGTTGAGACTTGATTGTAGGTGAGGAGTTGTTAAAGGTTTGCAAGCAGTCAGTGACATGATCAGATTTGTATTAAGAAAGATGGCAGGCGGCAGAGAGAGGCGTATGTGTGGAAGGCAGAGACTGCAGGGCGAGTACTTTGGAGTGTACTGGAATAGTGTTGATGTGACATAAAGAGGCTCTGAACTAGGGCAGAGCGTGGCCGTGGGATGGAAAGGAGAGGATAGATTCAAAAGGCAGAAAATCAACAGATCTTGGTGACCAACCAAAAGCTGGAGGATTTTGTGGATTGTAGGTCACACAAGTGAATATTTGACCAATGCCTCTATAGATCCTGAGGGAAGAGGAATCAGTGGAGAAAACAAATGAAGTAAAGGACAAGTGATTACTTTATCAGCCTTGGGGCTTCGCCATGCATCAAACACAAAAGGACAAATCATGAAATCTAGAAGATCATTCTGACTTTTCCAAGTAGCTGCTGCTATGAGCTTATAACAGAAAACCTTTAGATGCAAAGGCAGAA